CGGTTTTCATGTTGATGCTTCAGCAAAAGTGTGATTTGGCAGTCAAATGTGGACGAAATTGACATAAATCCTCCTCAAAAGTTATGGATCAACTTTGCCATTCAGGTAGCACACGGTTTCATTCCCATAATGCCTCACTCTTCCATAGCCCTTCCACTTCTATTAACCCTCTAACAATCGGCATGACCCACCTCATAACTCTCATCTTTGTGTGTGTGTGGGTGTGTGTGTTTCTCTGTGTGTGTGTGTCTGTTTCAGTCACCCCCTCCAGTCCTCTATTGGAGCCTCATGCCTCCTCTTCCTCCTCTTCTTCATGCATCCCTACCTCCATCTCTCTATCTGCGGGCCCGTTCTCATTCTCTCCTGTCCATATGATCTCTGCAGTCAAACAGAAGAGCGCCTTCGCGCCTGTCGTCCGGCCACAGACCTCCCCGCCCCCCACCTGCACCAGCACCAATGGGAGCAGTATACAGGGTGAGCACCCCACCCCTCTCCTGCCTCTGAGCCAATCAGGAAACAAGACCCTATTTTAGAACGAGTCACAAAAAAAGGGCACTAAATTTTTGAGGACAAAGTTGATCCATAACTTTCTACGTATAAGATTGGTTGTTTTTGCTGAAAAAAAAAAAAAACTAAAATAAATTTTAAGTAAATAAATAGTGAAAATGCTGTTTTTCACACTGGTGGTGATGTCTGTTGGGGCAAATTAGATTAAAATAATATCAAAATTTCCAGTCCTCTATTGGAGCCTCATGCCTCCTCTTCCTCCTCTTCTTCATGCATCCCTACCTCCATCTCTCTATCTGCGGGCCCGTTCTCATTCTCTCCTGTCCATATGATCTCTGCAGTCAAACAGAAGAGCGCCTTCGCGCCTGTCGTCCGGCCACAGACCTCCCCGCCCCCCACCTGCACCAGCACCAATGGGAGCAGTATACAGGGTGAGCACCCCACCCCTCTCCTGCCTCTGAGCCAATCAGGAAACAAGACCCTATTTTAGAACGAGTCACAAAAAAAGGGCACTAAATTTTTGAGGACAAAGTTGATCCATAACTTTCTACGTATAAGATTGGTTGTTTTTGCTGAAAAAAAAAAAAAACTAAAATAAATTTTAAGTAAATAAATAGTGAAAATGCTGTTTTTCACACTGGTGGTGATGTCTGTTGGGGCAAATTAGATTAAAATAATATCAAAATTACCTCAGTTTGCATGTATCACATTTTTCACACAGAAAAAAAAACTTAGCAGCACAGCTGTTCTCAACATAGTTTTTGAGGTCAAAGTTGATCCATAAATTTCTACTTATAAGACTGGTTGCTTTTACAATGAAGAAAAAAAAACAATAATAATTAAAATAAATTTATAATAATAACATTACATTTCAATAAATAATAAATAAAAATTATTTTGATTTACATGCAGGTGGTGATGTTGGGGCAAATTAGTGTAAAATAGTAATAAAATAACCCGTTTTTGTAAAAAAAAAAGAAAGAAAGTATATTCATAAAAGATGATCATTTTCCATGTTATTTGCATGTTTTGAAACCAGAATCTGTCTCAAGATGCTGCAGTATTGACTGCAGATCTAGTTCTAGAAGGAAACTCTTAACTTTAAAGCACTAAAGTTTAGAAGTGTTTGCTTAACTACAGCCATTCGCTAAAAATATTCCTCAGTCCAGACCAACTGTGGAATGAGCTGCAATATTGACCTGTAATAACCATAAACCAGTCATTTTATGGTTCAGATAGATCATGTGTTGTTTGAACCGTCTCTTTTATTGTCGACTGACCTCTAGTTGTTTTTCTCTTCCAGCTATGGCTGGTCTGATTGTCCCTCCCATGTGAAGAGGAACCTGATCTTCCTCTAAGGCTTCATTGAGCCCACAACAAACTCACTGGCTCACCAAATCTGTCTGACACTCTCTTATCGAACTTCACCAGTCCTATGAGGAGCTGCCCGAAAAGAACATCAATACCTGGATTGCTAAAAGAAAAAAAAAGAAAAGTATACCTGGCCTGAAAATGTCCCATGTCCTGAAATGTCAATAGATGTGTTTGTTTTGCCCTCTATGACTTCATCCTTGGATACTCGCCATACCGGGTGGCATTTCGAACAGGAAGCATAAAAGCTGGATATTATCGCAATGTGAACAAGAAGAAAGGTTTTGATACATCCACGGCCGTAGGGGCTTCTTTGCATGGCTGATGTTGTCTGTAGACCGTTCGTTTCATACTGTATGTCTGTCCTGTTTCCACTGTGAGAAGAGAGATGCCACTCATCCAGATGGGACTGTGATGGCTCAAAAGGTCATTCAGAAATGATTCACTCCTAATTACGAAATGCAGTGTCTTCGTTTTCGTTTTTAACATCAAGCTGATTTGATTTCCTTTCGCTTTTGTTTTAAACCATCAAATGAGAACAGAGTGACGCACAAACAAACACAAAATGATCCCAGACTGTAATTTAGTAATCATCAGGATGATGGATGTCAGTCATTTTTACTCGTACCGTTTCTGTAGTTCCAGTATAGTTCCAGGTGTGTGGATAGGTAGATTTAAGCCAGGAATGCTTTCTGCAGTTTTAATCACATTTAGGTACCAGACTTATTGTTGAATTTCTTATTGTGCTTTTTTGTATGTATTTATAAAGTTCGTTTCAGGATTTCTTTGGTGAGTTAGGCCTGAATAATAGTATCAAATATCTATGTCAACACATTTGATGTCTTAATACCTTTTAGATATTGTAAAAAGAGTGAAAAATAAAAGGGATTACACTTTCTTTCTTTTTTTTGTAAAAACAAAAACGACAAAAAAAAAAGTCCGGACATGACCAGGACACCTGTTTTTTCAAAGCAGGGTGCGAAAGAAACTGACAACACATTTTTTTCAATCGTATATTTAATGTTTTCTTTTTGCAAAATGCATTTGTTGTTGTTCCTCCTCTTGTCTCGTGTGTTCTCGTGAAACGTGTATGATCATAGTTATTTCCTAATGCACTATTTTTGTTGGGGCACTTACAAGAGCTATGTATCTTAGCAAGCAGATGAAAATAATAATAATAAAAAAAGAACAAAAAATTTTAAACTTATACAAATATGCACCAGTATGTTTTCAGATGATTTTTTGGATTGATTACTCTTTGCTTTGGTCATGATAACTGAAATGGCTAATCGTTCATCATTTGATTTTGTTAATGTTTCTAAAATGTTTTCATAATACTTCTCTGTCCTTGTTGAGGTTTATTTTATATTAGATATGCGTTGTTTCGCCACATAGCGTCGACTGGTGAAAAGTCAAAATTTCTATCTAATGTGCTGATAAATATGCCATGTTTAATGTATCACATGTCCAGAAATGGATCACATCAGAGAAGTCCAAACCTGAAATGGAGCACATTTTGACGTGGAAAAATTAATTGACATCAGTGTTGCTGGTGATATTGTTAGTTGTTGCACACACATGCACAAGTTATGCAATTTGTATTTAAATGCAACTCGCAATCCACATTTCAGTGGATTAGCTGTGAAATTAATGAATGGAAGGAGATATAATGATGCCTTAAAACAGGATGCGCTCCAGGACAGTGTATGTTAAATCACAAATCAAAAAAATAGTCTGTGATATGATGCATTTAAATACTTTCGAAACGGCAATGTTTTAGGTCTTAGTAGGGAAAATGTGGAAAATCATTGAGGAAATGTGACTTCAGTAATCATCGCATTGCAGGTTGTCATCTTCATGAATGGGGTTTTTTTTAGTCATGTTTGGTTGTGTTTCTATTTACGATTAAATATCGCAGACTGACGACTTGGAATCAATGTAATTTTAATATTCCAGTCATGAGTTTTCTCTATTTTCCTGAAGTGAGTGAAGGTGTGTGTTTGCTACAATGTAATGTGAAAGAAATTGTGGTTTCTGAAGACCTCTTTTAATTTCACAGGTGACCTAATTACTTCACATTCATCCTTTTGGGGTTTAGACATAAATGGGGTAAAGAAAATACAATTTGACAGTGCCCTATTATATCCATCCATTTCACCCATGCATTCAGTTTCCTAATAGCTTGTGAAAGGTTTTTTGTCATAGATGTAGAGAGCTGGCTTCTGTTTTCTTTTTCAAAACCTGTTTTCTTTGGAAATGTTGACTTCGAGGTGAAATGGAGAAAGGTGATGCATCTTTGTGAAATATGAAATATTATATCAAAATATATCAAAGCACAATGTTTAATTAATGTCTTTAGAATTCAGAAAGGGAGATGTATTCTACTTTCCTTTTTTCTCTTTGACCATGCTGTAAATAAATGCATGTTTTTCCTTCATTTTTATTTCAGTTTTTTTTTCCTGTGATCCCGTGCTTTTTGTACAGAAACAGAAAAATAAAGATTACATTTGGCTTGAAAATATTTTGTCAAGCGTCTTTATTATGTAAAGCACAGCCTCTTTTTCACTTTCACAATGTTTTAAAACATCAACAGTCCATCGAGTTATAAAAGTCACTTTTTATGCTGTGCTTCTCAGCATGGGGTGAACCATCTCAGTCCAGAAATCTCCAGCTCTGCTCCAAACTTCACAGCGAGGCTCATCCTTCCAAGGTTTCGACCTTTTGGTCTGCTCCGCCTGCCAGCACTGCTCAGTTGATGGGATATATTTTTGAAACCTTATCCAAAGACCACACTGAATTTTTTAGAGTTTTGGCCCTCAAACCCAATGCGCTGAACCTGCGTAAAGACACTGTGAGCCATGCAGATCAGAATCAATCATTCCTGAAATCACTCCAGCGCAGTCATTTTCCTGAGCTTTCTGCTTGGATAAGACAGAATGAGGGAGATATTCCGAATGTGATTTGTGCTCATGTCAAAAGAAACATTTAAGGAAGGGGAAATATCTGAGACGTGAAGCTGGTGGCCTTTTGATTACCTCTAGCATTTGACAGTCTCACAAATTGCACAGTCGACACTGGCTAGTTTACAGCACGTCTGTCTACGCATGAAATCACTATAGCTATCATCTATATCACAGAGCAGAATTTAAATGGAAATGTTTGAAGAGAGAACATAGCAAAAAGGGGGAAAATCATTTTCTTACAAATTTTTGACTAATAACTAGAGAGAGAGAGAGAGAGAGAGAGAGAGAGAAAGATTGTGTTTTAGATTTACATCCTTAAAAAAAAATTTTTCCCCCCAAAAGTTAGAATTTTAAATAAAAGTTTGTGTGTGTATACTGTACATGTGTCTGTGTGTAGGATATGTATATACATATATATTAGGTATAAAATTCCATAAAGAATTTGAGTGAAATGTCTAAACTATTAATTTTAAAGGTGTTATTTAGAGTACAGAAATCAAGAAAGTTGAATCCTCCTGATTCATACGTATTCATTATTGTAGATTTCTTAATGTAATGTGTTTTGTTCCTCCACAGAAAATTAAACAAAGCAGTATCAACAGCTTTACACATCTCCTTAGAAACATTGAGTGAAGTGGCGTGTTTAAGGATGTTATGCTCAAGCCCAAGCCGTCAAACTGACGTCACCAGAGAAGGTCCGTCATTTCAGAGGGGAGGTGCATTTTCAAATTTGGATTAAAGATTACGAAGGCAAACTATTTATTTTTATTTTTTATTTTTTTGTGTGTGTGTGGATTGACTTGCACGGATGAATTGTTTACCACAAAAATATAGTCAATTTTAATTTCATGTGTACTTTAAGAAAAACACTCACACACACACACACACACACACACACACACACACACACACACACACACACACACGTACA